TGGTAGGCAAATGTGGGTGGTCATATGCTAATGAGCTCATAATTGTGAGGTCATAATGCAAATGTCAGAATGCAAATCGATATGACTCCTTTATCCGTGACTTCATTGTTACTCTCATCTTTATGTTCACAGGCAGAGCCTGAAGGATTCTCTCATTTCCATTTGTACGTGTGCGCTGCCTTCCTGGTGCGATGGAGGAAAGAGATACTAGAGGAAAAGGATTTCCAGGTAAGATGGTTTTTTGTGTCGTTTTGTGTGGTCCCTGAGCCGCAGTATGTGTCGTCCTTGCGTGAGCCCCCTCCTTCCTCATTAACTTGCGGGGTCGAGAGGTCAGTGTGCCTGCATTAGTGTGATGACAATACCAGCTGCTGTAAGGTGACATTGCGCCATCCCTTTGAGACTTCTATTTCCTGTCCTCTCTCACACTCACTCATTCCATGCGATTGCGAGGTAAGGGGTTTAAGTATGGAGGCTTAGAGAGGGCAGATATGTCACTAGAAGTGCAATATGAGTTTGCTTATATAATCTAAAGTCCCACTTCTGTTACTGGATTCTTGTCTTTCTTTTCCTCATGCTGTCCTCAGCCATTACAGTTGCTCTCGCACTTTATGACGTGACAGACGACTAGTTGTCAAGTCAAGTTCTGTTCAAACAGTGCGGGTTTTCCGAGAATGCGGTTGTGAGTCCTGAAAATTTACGGGTGTGAGATTGGTTATTAAATGTAGTTGTCACTCCCGGAAATAACTCTCAAACTGTGTATGAACATAACTGTATTGAGGACTCAAATACAGAACTGACAGCCTTATTCTTCAGCTGAGTGTTGCCATAGTTACATTTTCCAATTATACAACTATTCACATCCTACATGAGTATGCAGTATACTGTATGTATACTCATGCAGATAAAGTTGGATATAATATATATCCAACTTTATATAGAGAGCTACGCTATAATATAGTTAGCATTTTTTGCAACAATATAAACAATCACGCAGCCGAGATTTTACATATATTGAGTATACTGTAAAGTATGCATTGTACCCAATTTTTTTTTTAAATATCACTGGGTATTAATAAAGTTTGCACTTTTCAATGATATAACAATCAAGCAGTTAAGATTTGCTATATAGTGTATCCCGCTTATTTAATTATTAGTTATGTTAGATCATGCCTCCACGCCAGAAATATCAGATCCAGCCCTGGACGCCAGGTCCTGTCAGAAAATATCCGTTTTGTCTGGTAACAAAATGACTAGTCAGCAAAATTATTTAATACCCATAACGCATTAACAGGAAGTCTTCTATCAGCCAAGAAGTTGACTGAGCAAAGCCAAAGAAGAATAGAAGCAGGAGACGATGTAATGATGCTAAAAAAGGAGCAGAGTTTATTGAATAATCATAGTTACGGATGTTTCGATGCTCAGACTTTGTCTGACGAGCACAAATACAAGTAGCGTTATACTGAACTGCTTCACAACAACATCTCTAAAACCTTGAATCTCCATAAACATTCCCTTGTATATCTTATTCATGAAGACAACCATCCCTTGAAACCACACAACTAAATAACAATGGAAACATAATATAAAAAAATTGTAATATAAATGACTAAAACGAGTATATAAATGTCTTAAATGATTATTATAAATGATTATCTGATTAAATGGAATAATAAAACAATTAAATGATAAATGACTATAATTGAATGAATGAATTAATAAATTAAGAATAAAAGAAAGTAGAACAACACAGATATATGGTTGTTCTCTTGAAGCACACACAGTTTGCATTTGAGGATCCTTCAGTTATTAATACATTTGTCTTATTTTCTAGTTTTACCAGGATTATCATAAATTACAAAAAAAAATGTGTCTTTGTAATAAACATGTAATAACTGTCTCTGATTGTCTTTTTTAGAGTTAGCGTTACTTAGTCTGCACAACTTACTCAGAACTTAGAATTCTGTCATCATTTACTCACACTTTTCTTCTTCTTCTTCTGTGGAACACAAAAGGTGCATTTTTGAAAAATCAGAAACCACAATGATTGAATCATGGAGTCATTGACCACCAGTGACCATCAGAAATGGATCAGTTAATTAATCGTTCTTTTGAGTAATTTATTTTAAATGAACCAGTTGATTTACTAAGTTTACATATGCAAACTTTCATTCAGGTATTGGAACACCCACTTTCCACCGTTCAGTCGGTTCCTTATCAGTTCCCTAATAATCAAGTCACTTCCTACTTTTGACTTGGCCTTTTTAAATATTTTGCTTGAGTCAGAATTACGTAATTTTACAGGTTTGAAAAGCATTCACAATGCAGAAATCCGAGTGAATCGGAGTACTACTTTTTTCTTTCTAAATCTTTGCCTTCTCTTTAAACTTGCATCTCTGTGGAGTGAATAGACTGCTCAGTGTGTGTGTGTGTGTGTGTGTGTTGTTGAATATGCAGCAAGTCAGTGGTGTGTATCAGCAGTGTGTTGTGGGGTGGTTGATTTATTGTGTTTACAGTGACCAGTGATTCAGAATTATCCCCTGCACCAGCTCTGCAGCACACGGCTGCTGTTTGGCATTCAGACAACAGCCCCGGGCCTTCATCTTTACCCACCTGTGCCATGTGTCAGCAGAGAGATTATTTCTCCTATTCTGTCTCCTTGTCCTTTTGTTTCACTCTATATTCCTTCCCTTTTTTGCTGGTTTGTTTTCACACACATGATGGTAGATAAGCGATACCCTATTGTGCCCTGCATGACTGTCCTGACATAGACCAGTTAGAGGTATAGTGGTGTTGTGGGAGATCTGTGGCAAAGAAGTTGACTTTGCTGCACCCTAACCTATGATTTCACCTCCTCCAGTGCAATCGGTTCAGGTCAAGCTGCCCTAGACAAACAGTTCCCATACAATTCCTTGCTGCTTCTTGCATTTTCTGAAGGGAAGAAACAGGGAAGGCTGCTCTTAAAATAATTGGTTAGCTGGTTTCCAGAGCATAGTGAGTTGCCTTTCTGTCTAACATAGGCAGATGCCTTCTAAGGAAATCTGATTTGAAAGGCTCTACATAGGAAGCAACTCCCTATGTGCTCTTCATGATTCAACTCTCATTCATTTTCATGATGTTAGCATGTTGCTAAGCTAATGACACTACAATCAATTATACAAGCAGAATTTTGTCTTGGGGAATATCATAGTAAACACAGTTTACCTTGGTTATATGTTAAGTGAACATGAACCAGTTGGGAGAAACTCAGATTTGTGTCAGGATCCATGCATAATATACCTGCTGCTGTCAAAAGAGAAAAAGAGAAAAAAAATCAAGAAAATTAATCTCCGTAATGGATACATATGATGCTGCAGCACAGTGCCTCAAAATGTTGTTTAGGTAGACAGCTAACAAATAGTTATGCCATACACAATTTTGGGCTTCACTTATCCAAACCTTGAATAGTATAAGGAATTTATTTTAAAAATGGTTGGTTAATGTTGGTTAAGCCAGTGTTTCCATTAGGCTGGTTCATATGCTCAAATAAACACAAAAATATTTGAATAATACCATAGTATTATAGTATAGTAGTAACATATAAAAACATATATAAAAATACCTTTAACACATCTAAAATAAATATTCGTGTACATATTGTCATAGAATCGAGGCAATGGAAGGCTCTCTAAAAACAAGTGACCTTCCACAGTAGGTTAAAGGGATAGTTCACCCAAAAATGAAAATTACCCCATGATTTACTCACCTTCAAGCCATCCTAGGTGTATATGACATTCTTCTTTCAGACAAATACAATCGGAGTTATATTAAAAGGGGCATAACACACACAGTTTCACCCAATCTCATGTTAATCTTGAGTACCTATAGAAGTAGTACTGCAGCCTTCATATCTCCAAAAAGTCTTTAGTTTTATCATATTTATAAAAGAAAGATACAGCTTTACGGTTCTCTCTGGAAAAAGCCAAGCTCCTGGAGGTGTGCCATGGGCGGAGCTAAAGAGTGACGAGCACTTGGGCACCGAATGCCAACAAAACAGACATTCGATGCCGTTTCACTTACCGTCTGCAGTTCTGAATCATGACCGGGATCTTTTATAGCTGGGACTGCTCCATCTTTCAGTATCAAACGATGTGCAAATCCAGCGTCAAACTAGGCCTTGTTTATAAAACGTTGGCTCTTCCAAGCTTTATAATTGGAGTGGATGGTAGCCCAAAATTTGAAGTTCAAAAAATTTTACCAATCCATTATAAAAGAAGTCAACACGGCTCCGGGGGGTTAATAAAGGCCTTCTGAAGCGACGCGATGCGTTTGTGTAAGAAAAATATCCATATTTACAACTTTATAAACCTTAATCTCCAGCTTCTGCTAACTGTCGTACGCACGTTCACGAGAGAGTGGAGTCCAGCGGATGACGTAGGCGTAGCGTAAACTCCGGTGAGAATATGCTAGTCTCGCGAGAAACAAGTTTTGTTTACAGCAAAGGAAAACCAGTGTCCTCTTGGCTTATATCGAAATCTTCCGACATTTTTATTTACAAATCCTCGTTTTGTATTACTAATTCGTGACCGGTGTTTTGTTTTGTTCTCTCCTCTGTGCTTCCATTTTCGTCACTTCCGCGTTCGTCACCGCGTTTACCTACGTTCTACGTCTTCCGCTGGACGCCGCCATGCCACTCGCGTTCGACAGTTAGTGGAAGCTAGAGATTAGGTTTATAAAGTTGTAAATATGGATATTCTTCTTACACAAACGCATTGCTTCTCTTCAGAAGGCCTTTATTAACCCCTGGAGCCGTGTGGACTTCTTTTATAATGGATGGGTGCAATTGTTTGGACTTCAAATTTTGGCCTACCTTCCACTCCCATTATAAAGCATGGATTAGCTTGGACATTATTTAATATAACTTCGATTGTATTCGTCTGAAAGAAGAATGTCATTATATACACCTAGGATGGCTTGAGGGTGAATAAATCCTGGGGTAATTTTCATTTTTGGGTGGTGAAGTGAACATAAAATATGATTTTCTCTTTTTTAAATTTGATGTCAAAGTTGAAAGTGGGCTTAAAGGGTACACTTACCCAATAAATAACAGTAACAAATATACATGCGTGTATGTAATACATCCAAGTGCATTTATGTAAGTAATAAGTTGTTATTTAATTCATATAAACTGTTATATTTAAAAGTGCTAAACTGAGTGATGCATGTTTATTGTCATATTAAACATTGCAACA